GGTTGAGTGAGTGCGCATTGGGGCGTTCGCGCGGAATTGTTCCCTCAGGAGGGCGCACGTGATTGTGACACCTGGGTTGAGGAATACCTGTGTTTGCGTTTTGCAGTTACGAATGATACGATTACGACTGGGTTGATTGTCACGACGAGGCCAAGGTGGTTTTTGAAAAGGTTCTTCATAAAAGGTTCTTCATCGTCGACTAGAGTGCCGGCAGACGCCTATTCGGCAGAGGCATCAGTCATCTTTGAGAAACGCCATGGCAAAGTAATTGTGTGGCCAGGGCTTCGCTCGGTGTTGTGCCTTGGCGCTGTGTGATGTGTTGTCATGAGCGCGTCAGTGCATTGGGAGCATGGGCTGATTCGTGAGCCAGCAGAGTTGTTGAGGCAGGTGCAGATGCAATTCGGCCTAGTGATAGCTCATGCTGGTCGAGAGCTTGACGTCGGCATCGGCCTTGATCACCTGAAAATCACCCGAGGTGACACTGCAAAGTACCTACGCGTGAAGGAACGCGTCTGGCCGAGGGCCTCTTGGACCCATGTACGGCAGCACGTGATTTCGTCAGTGGCACAAGGCTGGGCAGGCTGGCAGGTTTCTGGGGAGACCACAAGCGGCTAGCGTCAGGCTACCCGACCACACGGGTCCACCCTCTCGTGGGTCCGCTCGAGCTGGCAATTTTCCTTCAACCCTTTGATTTTTTCGGACACCCGTCGCCCTTCGCCAGCCTTTACGCTTCACCACCACGTCACCAGCCCACCATCACACACTACCTTGCCTTGTGCATCAATAACGAACCAACCCACCTACGACTGCTGCCACGAGCCCAGCAAAAAAAAAAAACAACCCAAACACCCAACGACTCTGCCGTTCTACCAATAACCCTCTTGTTCGATCTCAGCCATCGTTTAGCAAGCCACCTATACCCGTCCCGTCCTCCCCCCCTGCAAAAAAGCTCTACCTCTCTCCCTACGGTATAGCTACACATCCGCATCCGACCTGTCGCGACTTGCATCTGTCCCTGCATTCCTGTTCGCCTCTCTCTCCCCCCCCCCAACGTGGCTTCAGGTTACCTGTTCGAACCAACCCTATCTCGCCATCGCGTCGTCAAGCATCGTTTTGCCTGCCATCGCGACGTCTTTTGAAGATTTGATTTCGATTTTTGATTCCCCAAAACCGACATCACAATCATGCCTCTTCCTTCGAGTTTTGCCTCCGCCGCCGCAGGCCAAAATGCCAACCGTGACGCGAGAGCCGGTCGTGGTGATGGACGTGGAGGTGCCGGAGGTGACTGGTAGGTCTTTACTTTTTTTTTTTTCATCTGGACAAAGCTGCTTTCTGGGGGTTGGGCGAGGTGCTGTCATTTTTTTCACCTGCTGCTTTGCTTCGCTTGAGGATGGGGAGGCGTCTCCACCCCCTTGGGCCAATTTTGAAGCATCATGCACTTCACCACAACCCCTTGTCCCCATCTACCCATTCCATCGCGATTCCAAAACCTTTGCGCGCGCACACCTTCTACGACGTCAATTGACACTTGTTTTGCAGGGCCAGAAGTGGTGGCAGAGCCAACGGCACCCTCACCTTCCGCCGATCCTCGACGACGCCAGGACAGACCTCCCACAGCGCGACGCCCTCCGATCAAGCCTTTCCTCAGACGCCCCTGGAGCCCACGACGCCCTCGGTCGCTGGCGTAGCGAGCTACGATTTCGCCTCACAACCCGCCCAGTACGCGAAGCAGTCCATCCTCAACCTTTTCCAAGACGCCGCCACCCAGCAAGAGTCTTCCGAAGTCCTCGAACCTGGATGGGCCCCTGGCCATGCGAACGGTAACTCGTCACGTGGCTGGGGCAAGACCGGCCACACCCACGCCAACCAGGATCCGAATTCGTGTTGGCTTCCCGCCGCTTCGAATGGTCCCAACTCTTCGCGTCATCTGTCTGCTGAGGAGAAGGAGGTGCGCTTGCCCGGCTCGTTTGTGACCCTGACAGCCCCACATGCTGACCCCGTATCGCAGGCCTTTGCGTCCGACGTGAACTCGCCCCTGAAACCACCGAACCAGCAACAGAAGGAAGGCGCGCAGCAAGGTGGCACCAACGGCCGGAAAACATCCGTCTCGCATGGGAGTGGCGGTCCTGGCTTCGGCGTTGCGTCGCCGACCTCCGCGTCTCGTCCGAGCACCCGGCGGCGCGAGACAACTGACTCGAATCCCTTTGCTTCTGGAGGCGTCTCGTCCCCGGCCACGGCACGGTTTAACCGCGACGACAGCGGCTTCCTGTTTGGGCGCAAGGGAGGCGAGGCCAAGGACCAGGACCTGAGTGAAGATGAAGGTGGCGCGCCCCCCAGCCGTGGAACGCCCCAGGGTCGAGGTGGATTCGGAGGCCTGATGCGTAGCAACACAGCGGGAACTCCGATTGCCGGCACCAACATCAGTTCTCTGTGGGGTCAGTCCAACCCGCCGCCGCCTTCTTCGGGCATGGGAAACTTTGGCCAGTTCGCCCTGCCGACGCCTACCGCTCTTGGGGGTAGCGCCCGTGGCGGCAGCCGCTTTGCGAATCTGATCCCTGGAAAAGAAGGCGCCGAGGATGCAGGTGGCGTCAAGCAGGCCGAGACCCCCGGCGGCACCGGCGATCGATCGTGGCGCTCGCGACCGCGGACTGATACCGATCCCTTTGGCGACGACAGCCTTTCCGGCAGCGCTGCCCTCGGAGGGGCCAAGGATACGAGTCCGCCGCCGATGCCCAACCCCGCGACGAGCAACATGGGAGTCTTCGAGACGCCCGTCAAGGGCTCCACCGGCGACTTTGGCATGTCGGGACTGAACCTGGGGCAGCACGGCGAACACGACCAGGGACCCGTCAGCCCGTCGGAGACCAACCCGTACCGGAGCCCGCCCGCCGAGCGAGGCGAAGACCACGACGAGAGCGACAAGCGCCACGGTGCCGGCATCGGTGCTGAGCAGCCTTCCAACTTTAGCACCCTGTCTCGTGGCTTCCCTGCTCACCCATTCGCCGACGGCAGCGACCGCAGCCAGACGTCGAGCGCTGGCCCCAAACCCTACCCTTCGCTGTCTAACCTCACTGGCTGGCCCGCCCCGAACCCCGTCGGCACGCCCGATCGTGAACGTCAGGGCTTCCCCGGCGCCGCTTTCGGCAACTCGCTCTTCAATCCCATGGGCGGCGAGCTCCAGTCTCCCGGCCTGTCCAGCATTGGCGGTGGTGTCTTCGGCCCCCCGAGCGCTGGCGGCATTGGCGCCACCGGTTCCCTCGGCCGCAGCAAGCTTGGCTCCCTCTTCCCTGCTGCGATGCAGGCTCAGATGCAGGGCCACGAGCAGCATGAGAATCTGAGCGATTCCCTCCCCGATCTCCGCCAGAGCAACCCCCTTGGTGCTATCGGCAGGAATAACTTTGCGCCCCATCGCGAGACCGAGAGCCCCATGCGCACCGGCCGCGGCGTCTTTGAGGATCTGTTCCCCTCGTCCGCCGACACCCGTGGCCACAACGTGTTTGGCACTCCTGGCGAGATGCCCGGCGGCCCTCTCGGCGGTGGCCCGCAGTCGTACACCCCGATCAACACGTCCACCTCGGACCTACCGTCTAACCAGCAGCGCCAGATGGTCATGCCTGATCGTATGAGATGGGTGTACCTCGACCCTCAAGGTCAAATCCAGGGTCCCTTCACCGGCCTCGAGATGAACGACTGGTACAAGGCCAACTTTTTCACGCCGGACCTGCGCGTCAAGAAGGTCGAGGACTCTGACTTTGAGCCCCTTGGCCAGCTGATCCGGCGCATCGGCAACTCCCGCGAGCCGTTCCTCGTCCCCCAGATCGGTGTTCCTCACGGCCCTCCTTCCGCCAACGGTCCCTTCTCGCCCGCCACTCCCGGTGGCGTCGTCCCTCCGCTCAGCGGCCTCTTCCCCAGCTTTGGCCGCACCCTCACCGCCGAGGAGCAGAACAACCTCGAGCGTCGCAAGCAAGAGGAGCAGTTCGCCATGGCCCAGCAGCGCGAGGTCATGATGCGTCAGCAGGCCATCACCAGAATTCAGCCAGGTGGTATTCAGGGCTCCCTGCACCACCATTCCAGCGCTCACAGTCTGCAGAGCCAACCTAGCTTCGGCAGCATCGCCTCCCCCATCGGGGCTCCCCTCCAGCAGCCACCGACCAGCAACATGGCTCCCGGGTCTGGATACTACGACGGCGCCTCGCAGCAGCAGCAGCAGCAACAACAGCAACAGCAGCAACAGGGAAACGGACAGGGCCCGGTCGGGGCCGGACAAGACCCCTTTCGTGAGGACGACATGCCGACCGTGAACGCCAACCATAGCAATGCCCAGAGCCAGGGCAGCTTCTTCCCCCCGCAGCCCATTGGCGGTGCGCAGGGAAACGACACCCATGTGCGCGCCAACCTGCCGGGCACCGAGCAGCTTGCCGAGGATGACGAGGGTTTTCGTGAGCGCCTGAAGGAGTTTGAAGGCCTCCGTGCGGCGCGCGACGCTGCCGAGCAGAAGGCCGCGGCGCAGGCCGACATTCCCCAGCAGAGCATCGAGGAGGACCATGCTGCTGTCGTTGAGCAGTCTCCCCACCGCAAGCTGACGGAGCAGGAGATTGACGAGGGTCAGCTCCTCTCGCTGACGCAGCAAGTTCAGAAGGCCCAGGCGGCCGCTGCCAAGTCGGCGACCTCTGGCCTGCCCATGCCGTTCCCGCCGCCTATCCCTCAGTCCGGCACGCCGCTCCCCGCTCCCACGGCGCAGAGGGTGCGGTCGGGCCTCCCCGAGCAGTACAGCCGCTCGCAGACCGGCACGCCTGACACGTCTTCTGTGACCGAGCCCCCTCCCCTGGCGCCCTGGGCCAAGGAGGCGACGCCCGCCGAGCGCAAGGGTCCCAGCCTCAAGGAGATCCAGGAGATGGAGGCGCGCACTGCTGCCAAGGCCGAGGAGGCTGCCGCCGCCGCCCGCAAGCAGGCTCTCGAGATTGAGGCCGCTTCTCTCCGCGAGCGCGAGAAGGCCACGGCCATTGCCACGGGCCTGCCGACCACGAGCACCTGGGGCAACGGTTCGCCCGTTGCTGCCGACGTCCGTATCGACCATCACTGCTCCTGTATATTGCCGCCCCCCAGTAACAGACTGTCGGTCGATATATATTATTGTGGTTCGATGAGTGATCTCTAGGGAGTGGGGGTGGATGGAGAGGGGGGGGGAGTCGGATGTGAGTGATGGGTCGTGTGTGTTCTGTGATTCCTGCGTAGAGATGACAGATGAGACTTACGATTTGGTGTGTAG